GATAAGATCTGACATTGCAGGATACTGCGCCAAGCTTAAATTAAAGATGTAAAAGGTTGTATTCTTGTGAGAACAACTTATACTTCAAAACTCTGCAACTATGGTTGAATTAAGTTTAGAAAACAAAAAAAAAACACTTTCTTTATAGAATTATATGTATGGTTTAAAGATGTAAAAATTCTTCATTTCTTTTGGTTGTTCCCTCTTCAGCGCTTCATCTCAGCCAATCATTCTTTTCCATCTCACTCAGGATGTTGTAAAAAATAACATTATATGATAGATTGGCTTGCCATACACCACCTGTTCAGCTGGTACAAAGACATCACCTGACGGTGAACAGTCCTAGTTCTGGAGTTGTTCTTCAAATTATAGCAGAAAAGTGTTGTTTGAAACTTGGTGACGAGTGTGAAGATGATTTTAGAGGCAGATGAGGATATTTTTTTAAAACAGAATGTTGCAGCATCTGCAAAGACAAGAAGTTACAACAGAGCTGTTCATGAAACGATAGATCAGACTCTCTTCTTCCACCTGTAGCACAGCAAACCAATACTTTTGTTGTTTAAATGTTATTTGTGAACAGATTTAAAGTGTATATGTTATTTTCATAATAATTATCATAAACAAAGAACAACTTTCAGCTGTTAAAATCACAGTTTAAAAAGAGCTAAGAATACCATACTCTCTGAGTTTTTTTTTACAATAAATTCTTTGCAACCACAGCTGCTGGTATGTTATCTTACATTTCACAATTTGTTTTCCTTTTTTTCTTTTTCCAGTGTACCTAGCTGTTTTCTCATGCAGCACCTTGGCTTAGTGCCTGCCCTCCATGCCCCACTGGATTGTCTTTCTCTGTTTTTACAGTAACACAACATTTTCATGTGTGGACACGCTGCTGAGGCTGTTGTTTCTGTCACTATTGAGCCCAAACACAGACACAAGTCGACCAAAGACTCTCAGTTCAGTCACAAACAGGGTCTCATTCCCAAATTATCAAATCTCTGTATTTGTGACTGTCTAGAGCAGAATCTTAAAATAACCCGCCTGGCTTAGAGGATTGTCCTAAGGCCTTTAAATTAGTACTGAGCCAGCAGCAGATTTAGAAGGGTTTAGACAGGTGGAGTGGGAACACTTCTGGATGGTAATCACATTATTGTACACAGATTATGACTAATATTCTAACAGTGAAAACATCCTCCACATTTTACACCTATCAAATTTAGAATTCTGAGGGAAAAAAAG